TGAGGGGTATACCATCTTCGGGGCGGGGGAGGGGGGAGCAGTCAGAATTAGCCACTTATTGAATCATTCCTTGAATAGAATCTGAACATTTTGGATAACATAGTGACTTACTTAAGAACTGAGGCATATTACAGGTTTCTGGGAAGTGATTTCCTTGTCAGGTTGTGTGGGAATTAAGTGGATTGTGGAAAATGCCTGATAAGGCCTTTGCCCTTGAAAAGCTGTCAGTGTCTTCATCCGCTGCAAGATCCACAAAACTATTGTCTTCCTATCGCCATGTTTTTTAAAAAATGTTAGTGTTTATAGAAAAAGATTTAAAATCCATAGTTTGTTCTTTGAGCTTTGGTTTTGTGAAGGTGGAAACAAGGACAATAATAAATTAAAAAAACAAACAAACAACTAGTTGGAATTCACTTTAGACACCCCCTGCCCCCAGCATAGAAAATAGTCATTTACTTCTCAGGGTTTTTGTGGCTTCTTTGATTTCAGCCGTCTTCCTGACCTTGCCAGTTCCAGCCCCCCTTGATGATTATTTAGGACATCTTTCTGCATAGCTTATTGGATTAAGATGCTCTGGTTTGCTTACTGCTCTAATTGCTGCCTTGTACACCTACCCCAAGCTCTGTGGCACTTTTACACAGAGGTCTGCCTCCTGCTCTAGCCTTCTGGCTCCAGGGCTGGATGTCCTGGACCAGCTGCCACGTATATCCCTGCAGAGAAATGGGCTTGCCCTCCTCCTGAGGGTGTCATGAGTCCGGAACTGCTGAGGCCAGAACATATCAGTGGTGTGCAGTCTCAGAGTTGTGGAAACTGACTGGGAGTCACTTTGGAAAGCTTCACAAATAACTTCCTATGGGAAGTTTTGATATGGCCCCTTCCCCCTCGTCATTCCACCTGTCAGTGACAGCCAAGCACAGGTACTTCACAGCTTTGTTTTGTGTTGTGTCTTAAAGTCTGTTTTGAGTGTACCCTAGCACGAGGCTGTAGGACAGAGGAGATGGCAGGAGACCTGGTCCCTGCCCTGGATGCATGAGGTGAGGCTTGAAGCTATGCTGAGTCACCCACAGATCCTCTGGGTCACCTGTCCTTTCTCCTTTAAGACTTACATCATACGTGCCTTCCTTCTCTATCTGAGATATTTCTCTAATTTCCCTCCAGTCAGCCAACTTTTTCTCCTCCTTTAGGTCATGGCATCAGTAGGCACTTAGTTGTCTACCCATAACAGGGTTAGGATCCCCTCTCTACTCTGTTCCCCCCACCCCCTGTTTTAAAATTTGGCACACAGTACCATAATCTGGGTTAACTTCTCCCTTGTTGGACCTGAGCTCATGAAGGGTTTGCTGTCGTATACTTAGTGTCAGTGACAGTGCCTAACTGCAACAAGTCAATGTGAGGTAACCAGGGCACTTACTGTATGTAGCTCATGCTCTGTAATTGGGTGTTCCCCACACATTTTGTCCTCAAGCCCTCACAACAGCCCTAGGAGCAGATATGATAAATAGTTTTACAGAGGAATAAAACGAGACTGGTAGAAGTTACGTGATCTGCCCAGTAAGACATAGCTAGACTCTAGCTGGTGCTTTCCAGGTTCCCACTCTTCATGGCTTAATAAGTGTTATAAGGATTCATTTTCCCAGACATACGGAGCTTGCTGTGTGCTGGGCAGAAAGCACAATATCTATTTTGCAGAGGCAGACTATAAACAAATAAACAAAGAAGATTCATGATTGCCAAAGGGTTTTGAGGGAAATGAGCATAGTGAGGGGTAAGAATGATTCTGTTTGGGGTGGTCTGAGTGGAAAGGCTGGTGTTGTGGACAAGGTGGCAGCTGAACACTGAGTGTGAGAAGGGGTCTTGATAGTAAACTCTGGAGAACAAATGTAAAGGCCCCATTTTAGGAGGCAGCTAGTGTGGCTGGAGCAGATAAAGTTGAGGAGGATAATTGTGGAGAGCAGTGACAGTGACTGGGAGACCAGTTTCTGAGATTGGGGTCCCTGGTAACTTCATGGCTGTGGTATACTTGGTGACTGGGAAAGTTTCTGTGCAAAGGCATAGGATGCCCCGTTGCTATGGAGATGCCCTCCATGCTGCAGTCTTATCAGCTTCCACCTTATTCTCAAGCATGGCAGCCCCAGGGAATAAAGGAACTTCCTTGCTAAGATAACCGCAATGTTTCACCAGTTCTGCTGCTCCTGAAACTGCCAGCAAATTAGTAACTTTAAACAATGGACTTTCTTGAGAGCTGCACAATGCTCCTAACATTGCACATTGCAACTGTATAATGTAACTGGAAATAGCTGCATACTGTTGCTAATTCTATAACTTTCATAAATACAAATAATAATGCTTGCATAGTCTTTTATCTGATTTAGAGACTTATGTAATAAAGATTGCTGGTGTCACTCCTTAGACCTGCTTCTCCATCAGAGAGCAGTTCTCCACCTGACCCCAGCTGTTTTATCTTCAAGATCTGTGGACATGACTCTTTATTTTTTTCCAATCTCCCATTGCCTCTCACTGTAACCTGCTAGTTTGGCCATGCTGGCTGCAGCAGATAATATTTTTTATTTTTAAAATATGTATATAGAATTAACTAACCAAATTAATGGCAGGAACAACTAAATAGATTAACAGGGAAAGGCAGTGGGGAAAGAAGAGGAGGTAGGGGCCAGGTCTTGTAGGACTCGAGTAATAAGCTCACCTGCCTTCAGAACCAGACCAGCACCTGGACTTAGTGAAGACAGCGTGGCCTGCCTTTTGCTTTCAATTTTTAATAGAGACATTGGTATAGAGAAATATTTATGTAAGCAAAACAGCAGTGCGGATACCATGATAAATGGCAGTACACGTGTGATGATGGTAACAGCACATGGCTTTTGACCTCAGATTCAGAGTCATAGTAGGGGCCAGGAGCAGCTGAGGGCCTGCTGGCCCTGACTAAAGAGGGCAGCTGGTCCTCAGTGCCAGCTATGTGTTGCCATGTGGGAATGTGGGCTCCATGTGCCGAATCTTCCAAGTTTCCCATAGAATTAGAAATCTGAATTTCTATGTGAAATTCTTGTATTCTAAAATGTTGGGTCAAGCTGTAACAATCCTAACAATAGGTAGACAAAATACCTGTGTGGGCGATAGTTTGAAACATCTTCTGAAAGCCCTTTAGGCTGTCATAAAGGGGATTGAATGAAATAATGATGCAAGTTAACCATTTAGCTTTGTGCCCAGTACTTGGCCAATACTGAGGAGAAGAAAGGTGCTTATCATGGATTGCACTGTTAATGTGTTTAGTTGTCTGCAACCATTATTTTAGTTAACTATAAATTTATTTAAAAAAATATCTGTCAAGTCCTGTGCAACAGTTTATTCAGGGCTACATGAACCAGTCGATGAGGGGATTATGAAAAAACAAACAGACACAGAAGTAGAGAAAAGGTTGAGGCTCAGTGGTTCGTCCTACCTCTAGTGGAGGAAGACTAACCACAAGCAAGCTTGGCACATTTATTATATAGATTTAAACATCAGAAGGATTTATTGTGAGAAAGCTTCTTCAAGATAAACAAAACCAAAGCTGAGGGTAAAAGCAGCTCAATTAGGGCTTATTAGCTTGTATCTATAATTCTATACCTTTTGGCAGCAGGCTTTTGAACGTAAGGTTAAGAAATAATAAAATTGGCTAGCACGGAATTTCCCTTTGAACAAGGTCTCACAATGCAGCTGGGCAGTTTTCTCAGAGCATTTGTTCCAAAAAATTACCAAGAGAGGTGTTGCCTCTGTCTTTGGGCAGTTCTAAGACCCATAATTCATTCCCTGCTCCTGACAAATATCCTGGTCTAGTTCAAGGATTAAATTAATGAATGGTTGGTAGTTACTGTTATTTGCTTATTGAGGAGTTTTTTATCTTTTTGCTCTTAGTTTGGTACATTCTATATTCATATTATATATAGAATATATACATTCTATATATACATTCTATATTCATGTTAAAAAGTAAACATGAGCCAGGCATGGTGGCACACATCTGTAATTCCAGCTATTTGGGAGGTTGAGGCAGGGGAATTGAAAGTTGGAGGCCAGCCTGTGCAACTTAGTGAGACCAAGTTTCAAAAATCAAAAGGGCAGCCTTGAAATAGAAAAAGGGCTGGGAATGCAGCTAGGTGGTAGAGCCACCCTTAGTTCAATCCCTAGTACCAATAAATAAATGAATAGATACATATGTTTGTTATGTATGTAGTATGTAAATAAACATCAATCTGGTGTAATTCATGTGATAAAATTATCAAGGGACAAAGGGGAAACATTTTGGAGTTACTTGTCCTTATTCACTGTCCACTTTCACAGTTTTGCCATCGTTGCTCCCCTCACATTCCTGTGTTTGGGCTCATTTTTAGAATCAAGACCTCCTGGCTGAATGTGTAAGTGGGAAGGAACCACAGCATAAATGCCATCCTGGACCATGTGAAGGATGACGGGAAATTAGCTTTATGAAATGACATTGTGTTTAGGAGGTTTTCATCAGTTTTAATGAAATACAAATGTGCTCAAAGCAAGCTATTTTTTTCCCAGAGGTGGAGAGATCTTCATTTAGTATGGCCTAACTCACACAATTTTGTCTCACAAGAATCATATTTGGTGTGTTGCAATCGTTGGCGGTAGTCTTGGGGAATTTTATTCAGCACAAGCATCTCTGATGGTTCTGGCAACAAGTTGGCTTAATTACTTGTTCAAGTTTTTTTTTTTTTTTGGTTTTGTATCTGTAAAAATTCTGGAGCATCATGGAGAGGAACACTGGGAATTACAAAATATATTTGAATATTTCTAATAGATTAAAGGTTTATGAAAACATCTTTTTTTTCCCAAGATTTTTTTTACATTGTTTTAAAATGAGATCATTTTATTTGATGGAAACTGGATATTTGAAAACAAGCAGTTTTTTATTTTGATGAAAAATCTTATATAAGTTCAAATTCTTAATTGAGTCAATATTTCTCTCAATTTTTGTACAGATCATGGAAGAAACAAATACTCAGATTGCTTGGCCTTCCAAACTGAAGATTGGCGCCAAATCCAAGAAAGGTAAATTGTAAGAGAAAGTGGCAGTTTTGATAACTGATGTTATGGAATTACTGCAGGTTTGCTGAGGAGAAAATGAACCAACCTTTATTCTTATCAGTTTTCCCCCAAATATTTAACAAATAATAATATTTGGAAGGATGACCATAATTAAAAATAATATGCAGTTTTCCAACAACAGAAAATGTTTTTAAGTATAAATATTATAATAGAAATGTTATTATAAAAGATATTATGCAACCTATGGTCTCAAATATGCCCAGTTGATAGCCATGATTAATGATAACTCCACATGTAAAAAATGTGTTTTCAATACATAGGCTTTCTTTATACTTTTTTAAAAATTTGCTACAAACATTTAATATTTATTTTTTCCCCTTTAATGTGATACAAAGCTTAGATGTCTTTTCGTGAGTGCTTCCTTTCCATCTGATAGCAAAGAGCCCATTAGATTTCCTTTTAGACTGAGCACTTCTCTTGCCAATTTCTGCCCTGCCATGTATAGGACACTAGCCAATATATGGGCAGTCAGAAATGGAAGTATATCTGTCTAGCCGCCCTTAGATGCTCCCTGCCCCCATATTAAGATTACATAGTATTTTCCAGTGGGGCACTGCAGCATACACCTGTAATTCCAGAAGGTCAAGAGGCTGAGGCAGTAGGATTGCAAGTTCAAAGCCACCCTCAGCAACTTAGTGAGACCCTATCTCAAAATAAAAAATGAAAAGGGTTGGGGATGTAGCTCAGTGGCAAAGTGCCCCTGGGTTCAATTCCCAGTACCAAAAGGCGGGGTGGAAATAAAGACTATGCAGTATTTTCAATGGACTTGCCAGTTTATATTTTTATGGAAGTTTTTCTTTTTAAAGAATGACCTTACTTTCAGCAACTCTATTGTGTACATTTCACTAAAAATAATACAAATGCTTGAGGTAATGACAAATACCATCAGACAATTCAAAGTATAATGATTGTGTACACTGAGCTTTATGCCTTGTGCTCTGGGCTTTCTGTTGTTGTTGCTATTTAGTTTTACATTTTTGTTCCTTCTATAGCTTTTATTGCTAAATGATACTAAGCATTGCAAAGTTGCTCAATTTCCTTTCTTACTTTAGTCCAGATTTTCTTCTTTTAATTTCATTTTACTAGAGTTACTCATCCCATGGAATGTACATTATTTTACAGTTATTATTTTTTTGTGAGTGCTGTTGGCTGGACTTTGGCATGCCTGCAGAAACTCTGATCTTGGTCTCTTTTTATTTGTGATTGTGGTGGCTAAGAAGACATGGTAAATTTCTACCTGTAGTTCCTTACATTTGCATGAACATTGTACTTGTCAGTTGTTTGAGAATAAGTTTTCAATTAATTTTCATGATGTGTTGGGATGTTTTGTACTTATTATGTGGAAGATAACACTGCCCTTAGTGGGTTATATGCCAACTTATTTATGACTTTAAAATAAAAAATCCCTGGCATGCTACTTGGGTAAACTGAAATTTGAACATAAACTGGATTTTCTGTTTCTGTAGTCAGGCATTTTTACTTAAAGAATAAAACAATCTTTGTTACCTAATAAAAATGAAATGTAATCAGTCCCTCAAGAAAACCCCCAAGGAGACATGAATATTAAGACACTACCAGATAATTTTGTATGGCTTATTCTTTTGCAGTATCCATGTTACAGTCCCCCCAATGTTATCATGAAACTAAGAATTGAATCATTTTTCTTTCAAAATGTGGATAGAGCTTTAGAGATTTTAGAAAAATACAGAAATTAATGGAATATTTTCATGTTTTTAGATTGATTTTCTGCCACTGACACGGTTAACCTATTCAGAGTGGAGTGGCAGTCCACATTTTGGTTGTACAAAATTTGCTTTAGAAATAAGAATATTTCAGCAGCACATTGGAGGGTATTTGGAATAATTTTCACATGGTTAAAGTTAAACTTTGGGGGCTGGGGTTGTAGGTCAGTGGTAGAGCTCTTGCCTTGCAAGTGTGAGGCACTGGGTTCCCTCCTCAGCACCACATAAAAATAAATAAATAAGGGCTGAGGTTATGGCCCAGTGGTAGAGTGCTTGCCTAGCATGTGTAAGGCATTGTGTTGGATTCTCATATAAATTAATAGATAAATAAACAACTAAAACAAAAAATTAAAAAAAATAAAGATACTATGTCCATCTACAACTTAAAAAAAAAAAAAGGTTAAACTTTGGAATTGAGCCTAAGAATTGATCCCTCCAGGCATGAGTCTATAGACTTTGTTTTATGTTCTTTTATTTATGAAGTGCTCTGAACGTACACAGTACTGTACAAGGAGCAGAAAGAATGTGCCAAAAGAGAACAAGGAAGAGGAAAGAATCAAGAGTTTGCCTCTGAGGAATTTACTGTTCCGAATTTACTTGAGTGCTCTTAGTCTTTAAACACAGCTGTGGAATCAGCCTTTGGCTAACATCCCTGATATGTATATAGACCTACATCATTTTAAAAATGGTTTAGTGCAGAGACAGAGTTTGTTTGACTATAATTTGTAGTCAGTAAAAGTAAAATGAAAGTGGTGGGGGGAATTTTAGAAGGTAATTATTTGCTCTTTGATCTGGTGTGACTGTTCCCCGCTGCCCTTGAGTGTTGTGGAAGAGTTGGTCTTTCATCCATCTTCATTCCCAACTATTATTATTCAAAAGACCAAAGAAAATAAATGTATTTAGGGACGATGCCATGGATGATTATTTAATTCTAAATCCCATAATGATCTGAAGATTTGGAATATATGGATAATCCCCAGACTGTGCTAGAGAGACAACACAGCCACAGGCTTGTGTTGTATTTCACTTTCTAGTTTTTACAATGCACACTGGTCGAATGTTTGAGCCTAGACAAACATTTTTCAATGGCCGCTCTTACCACGGTCTGCCCCTTTCTTTACCTTATTGGAATTTAGCCTTGTATTTTTCAAATTATTTCCAGTAGTTGTGCCCAAACTTAATTTTGGAGCCGTTGATCCTTGATCAGAGTAGCTGTATGGGAGCGTTGGTGGAAGTGCTGGTGGGATGCTGTCTGGCAGAGAGCAGCCTGAATTGGCCACCAATTAGGAAATTCAGATTCTTCTCTGAAGTCTGTGGGTTAGTAGTTCTGGGGCAGCACTGGGAGTCCTCATATTGAACAAGTTTCTCTAGTTATTGTGGTCAAACTGAGTTTGGAAAACAAAAATCATACCATCTGATGTGGAAATAATATGACTTGGTTGCTAAGAAGTCTGTTCAGATGGCAGTGGATCATGCAGTCAGCTAACATGGATAAGTTTGGAGTGATGATAACCTCATTCAATGCCTGTGTTAAAAATGATTTTGAGCAAAGGAACATCTGGTGTTTCTTCTCTGCCTTGCCATACCTTATTTTTTTAAACATTAAAAACAATTTGCTGTTGTTGTTGTTGTAGATGGACACAATACTTTTATTTTAGTTGTTTTTATTTTTATGCACGCTGGGGATCGAACCCAGTGCCTCACACATGCTAGGCAAGTGCTCTACCACTGAGCCACAATCCCGGCCCATTGCTGTACCTTCTTACCCTTTCTTTTTCCCTCCCTCTTTCGCTTTTGCTCTCCTTCCATTTCTCTTTGGCCATGTTCTAGATAGAATATAGTTGAAGAAAGTGATAGAAACATTTTCATATATGCAGGATATTTTGGGGAAGTGCATATTTTGTGATATAAACTGAGGGACATGGAATTTTTGAAAACCCCCAGAGCATTTGAAATTATTGGAAGATTGAATCCTCACCGAAGCCAGAAAGAACTAAAAATTTAAGATTCAAGATAATGGACATTAAAATGGATGACTCTTGGATTATCTTAATGGGGGCCATGATTAAGACAAATAAAGCAACACTTAGCATTTATTCTGAATAACATGAATTTATTTTGTGTAGAAGAAAATGAAACTGTTTCAAACTTGTGGAATTGGAGCAGTCAAACAGTCTGATTTACATAGAAAATTCGAGGTTTGTGCTTGTGAAACTAGTTCTAGGGATTAAGGTGTTCAATGGTACAAAAGTTTACTAATATAGAATAACTTCAGGCACTCATTAAAATTTTAAATGTGCTATTCTGAGTCACAGCCTGCTTTGAAATAAATGCAGCTTCATTAAAATACAAACAACATTTGAACAAGTTTGACTGTTTTGCCAAGAGAATTCCTGCCAGACTTGCCTTAACAAATAGATAAAAGTGATTTGTAATGAGAATTTATCACACTGGTGATTGTGCTGTGAACTCCAACATGCTAGATGAGTTTGTTCTCTTAAATAAGGTAAATATTTTTCTTAAAAGCCTCTTTTTGCTCTTAATTTGCTCATCAATCTCTTTCTTCTTAGATTGGCAAAGGTAAATGTGGGTGAACATTGGTTAAAGTTTTTATGCCAAATTCCAAATAAATGAGGTCAACATTAATGAAGCTTTATTGCAGAGTTAAACCAAGTGATAGAAACTGGTCTCTGCAAAGTGGTACTGGGGTGACAACCTAAGATGTCCCAGGACTAGCAAAAATGAGAGTGTTGAATGGATTACTGGTGTATCCTGGTTAGAGGGAATCTGGCACCATGTTTAGTTGTTCTCTTCCTCCAAGAATGAACAAGAGAATCATCAGGATTCCATGAGAGTTTATTATTTTTTGTTGAATTCCATCAGAAGTAGTAGATATCTAACAGAAAATCTTAACATAGGAAAAATTATAGAAAAAAATATTTTTTTCTTGGGAAATGTTTTGCTGAGTGTACTTATGCTTGTGTTGGGTGTTCATGGTAGACTAACTAGTGGAAGCCTTTAACATAGCAGTGTTCAGAGGATGGAGGGTAGAGGAAAGGGTGGTGTGGCATACTGGACCAAGTGTTTACAGTGGTGGGTTGCAAACTATGAGGGGTATAAACTTTATTTAGTGAGTTACAACCAGCTATAAAATACACCCAACTAAATTAGAAAAGACAAGAGTGTAAGGATATTGTTTAA